GACTGATATTGGCAACAGAAGCAGTAGTGGAAGGCGACTTCAAGGCTGAATCCGGGCAACAGGGAGGCCAGGCAGATTTTGACAGTGATGGAGAAGGGGATGGCTTGTGGGGAAGGGAGAGAAGTTCAGATACTTGTGCCAGGGATCAGAGCAGCAGACCCTCCACTGGGATCCTGGCCAATCAATACTCACAGAACTGATTTCTTCTTGGTCTCCTTCTGGCCTGGGGAACATGACATCTTGGCCACCAGCAGGAACATCACCCCGTTCATCTGAAAGCACAGAGAGTGGTTAGAAGCTGCTCTGCTGCTCCTACACTGAGGCTCTCTCTCTCTCCAGTCCTGCCGTCTCGATCATGTGCCTCCACAAGCTCCTGTACCTGGGAAGCTGAACTCTGTGCAGACCTGGGCTCATCCACCTCCTCCTCTGTCTGCTCTACACAAGGCCCACTTCTCTGGGCTACATACTGCTGCCTGGGCTTGGGGATGTGTGACAAGAAAGGAAGCCCCGGGGGAGGAAGAGAGCACAGGAGAAAGGAGCAAAGCTCAAGGGATAGAGGAAATATAAATGGAGGAGGGAAAGCAATGAGAAGAGGAAGAGGCATCATAAACCAGGGGAAGGTAAGCAGAAGGCAAGGGCAGCAGACACATGGAGTACAAAGAAGGGGAGGACATGGGGGGTGGGCCGGGACACGATATAAACACGAGAGGAGCTTACCACAATGACGACAGTAATGGGGCCTGCAAAGCTCCAGACCAGCTTATCGTGGATAGAAATCCAGCAGAAATCTGGGTTCCCATAGCCCTCTGGGTCCAAGCCAACGGCCAGTCCTGGAGGGGGAGAAAAGGGAAAGGTCAATTCCATGACACAGCCACCTAGGAGACAGTGGGGTCACTTTGCACTTCCACTATGGCCTCTTCCACCAGAGGATCTCAAAGCAGAGACCAAACATTGGTCAATGCAGCCTCAAAATGCTCCTTGGAGAGCAGTATCACTGTCCTCATTTACAGATGGGGAAGACTGCGGTACAGAGGAGAAATGACTTGCCCCAGGCCATAACAGAGAGCTGGGGCAGAACCAGGGACAGAACCCATGTCTACTTACTCCCCATCCAGTGCTCCTCCTTCCCCTCGGTTCCTGCCAGTGCCTCTGGCCAAGTTGCCATAGCAATGGAAATATCTAGCACTGGCTAAGCTGTCTCTCCTGCTTTGTGAGGTCTGTGTCCTATGCCTCGAGATGTCCACCTCAGCAGAGCCTCACAGCAGGGCATTTGCTGCCAGGAACACATGCCCCCAGTGGTGATGAACCTTGGGAAATGGATCGAGATGAATTGCCAAAGAACATTTGCATCTCATGCTATGAATCCTAGAAGGGCAGGAGCTTCATGGCCATCAGGCCAGAAAGGGTGAGAAGCCTTGTAGGTTCTTCTGAAAGAGTGAGACCCTGGCCTCTAGGCCCCACGGACATTTCACACCAGAAAACTACAGTGCACCCTCTGCTGTGGTATCTACCATGTCAAACACTAGGAGTGGTATAAATGCATAGTGTCTTCATCACTGCCTTGTGTCTAGATAACTCCTGCACCATATTGTAGCTCACTGACTGTATCTCCATGGTCTAGAATCTGTCGGCGGTGTTGCTCCTGGCTAGACCCATACAGCACAAACACACACACAGTGGCAAATATGGATGCCCACAGACATGCACATACATCCCCTCCACACCCGTTCCCCCACCAGACACTCAGGCTGGACAATGCTCATGGAATCAGAAAGGAGACAAGCTCTGAGGCCCATGCACTGTTCCTTCAGCAGTTGGCATTGACCAAAGGGGGTTTCTGAGGCCAATGCCTTTGGCATCGCCCAAGGCCAAGCAGTTTCCATGTTGTAGCAAGCTTTATCCATTTCCTCCCTCCCTCAGAGCGGGAACCTGTCTCCCCAAGCACCTCTGCCCAGCGTGCGGTACCTACCAGTGACGATGGCAGGCACCCCCCAGCCAATGGCATAATAGAACCTCATGGCTCCGAAGTTGATGTTGCGGGCTTCGGTCTGCATGCGATAGATGTGGAGGCCCTGCACGAAGAGCCAGGCGAAGGTGGAGAGGAAGAAGTAGTGCAGCAGGATGGCAATCACAGTGCAGAGGAACTGAAAGGAGCAAATCACCACTCAAAGAGTGGACAGCCCCTGCAGCTGGGGAAGGGGAAAGGCCCTCCCTTGCCTGGCAATCTCCCTTGCTGCAGCAGAGTCACTCCCAGAGCATTTCTGACATCCCCATTCTGCTCTACACACGGCAGGGAGCTGGCTTGTGGGACTCCTGTACCTCTGCTGCATGCCCCTGACCTAAGCTGCTGATTCCCAACCTCCTAGAAAGGGGCTAGAAGTCTGGGTCCACAGTCAGTAATAAACCCTGGAATGACCCACCCCAAAGAGCCCACATCCGAACCAAGCAGCCTCATAACCCTGCTCATGTCCCTCTCCGACACACATGTCGATATGCATTGGGTAGGTGGTTTGAGTGATGCCTTCTGTTCTTCAGGGATGTGGGGAACACTCTGTCACTTCTGGGGCTTGAACCAAAGACCTAGCTCAGATCCAGGAGCTGTTCCATTGGTGCTACAGGAGACTCTCCAGTAGTCACCTCACTTCTGAGCTGGATGCACTACAGCCTCCAGGAGTGAGAGCTCATCATCCCATCAGACATGGGCCTCTCCTGATTAGCAACATCCTGTCCTAAGTCGCAACCAACGGCCCTGTGTCTGAGAGTTGGCACCACGACCCAACGCTATGGCTGGTGCCAGGGCCCTAAAAGGGGCGGGGATTCCATGGTGAGGAGCATGGTATGAAACCTAGAAAGAAAAGATTGGATTACATCGAAAAGAGAATTTAGGGGGAAGATTCCTCCCTGGGGGAATCTCCCACTCTTCCCCTATGCATCCCAATGAACCTGGGAGGTTGCATCCTGCAGGATGATTCCAGCGCTCAGGTTGCTTTATGCAATACTTATAGGGCCACCATTCAAACTAGGTCAAATATGAAACACTGGAGACTAAACTAGCAAAGCATTTACACTCCTGCTGCATTCAGCCAACAGTGCTGTTCTCCTGGGCCTCCTTCCTACCCTCTAGGTCTCTCCAGTCTGATGACTGGAGTACTGTGTCCAGTCTGGAATATTGTGTCCAGTTTTGGGCCCCACACTACAAGAAGGATGTGGAAAAATTGGAAAGAGTTCATCGGAGGGCAACAAAAATGATTAGGGGGCTAGAGCACATGACTTATGAGGAGAGGCTGAGGGAACTGGGATTGTTTAGGCTGCAGAAGAGAAGAATGAGGGGGGATTTGATAGCTGCTTTCAATTACCTGAAAGGGGATTCCAAAGAGGATGGGTCTAGACTGTTCTCAGTGGTACCAGATGACAGAACAAGGAGTAACGGTCTCAAGTTGCAGTGGGGGAGGTTTAGGTTGGATATTAGGAAAAACTTTTTCACTAGGAGGGTGGTGAAGCACTGGAATGGGTTACCTAGGGAGGTGGTGGAATCTCCTTCCTTAGAAGTTTTTAAGGTCAGGCTTGACGAAGCCCTGGCTGGGATGATTTAGTTGGGGATTGGTCCTGCTTTGAGCAGGGGGTTGGACTAGATGACCTCCTGAGGTCCTTTCAACTCTGATATTCTATGATTCTATGACGCCATCCCACCCAGCTGCACTCAGGACTGTTTCCTCCTCCCCTTACCTGATTTTCGGTGCGGTTGATTCCCAAGAGGAAGAGCAGCTCGGAGAAAAAGAGGGTGACAGATATGTTGGAGTGGATGCCCCGGGTGTTGGACTTGAGGCCTTTCAGACATGTCAGGAAGGAGAAGGTCAGCAGCAAGGCCACGAGAGAAAGAGACACCAAGGAATAGGTGACAATGGCCAGGGTCTCTAGGTCACCCTCCAGCTGCTGCAGATGGAAACCAAAGACAAAAGGCAGAATCAGGCAAGAAAGCATGAGCATGTGTCGGCTTCAAAGGTCTCTCCCTTTGGCTGGGAATTAGATGGGAGAAGCAGCCTGGGATTTTCTGCTACATTTCTGCAGTGGGCACTGTCTGCACCTGTGTAACCCAGAGTTCTACCCTGAACGTTCTGGTGCGTTTAGATCATGGTCCCCACCACATCAGGGGCTGCTCCGTTCTGCTACTTGTCCACGATGTGCCTAGAACAATCTCATGGAAATACATCCTCTTGTTCTGGTTTTCACCACTGGTGGTTCCGGCCTCCCCTCCCCCCAGCCTTCCCGCTCCTTCCTCCCCTCCCTCCCGCCTCTGCAGAGGTAAGGTTACCTCTCGGTGGGAGCTATCCATCAGCACCCCAAAGGTACCAAACTGGGAACACTGGCAGCGCACATGCGTGGTGTTTCTGAACACAAGATCACAGTCCCTTGCTGTCCAGAAGCCGGAAGGGTCAGTCCTGCAGCCGCAAGAGAACACAGAGCAATCTCAAAGGAATAGGCCTTCAAAAATCACATCTTCTGTCAGGCCCTGGGGGTCCGGGGGTGCATAGGTGAGGAGCATCAGCCTGATCAGAGGTCCTTTGGCTGCCTGGACAGTTCTCTACTCCTCCTAAGGTGGCAGGACGTAACAGGATGTTTCCATGTTCAGATGTTGAAGCATCTACTCAATGCTGCCTGAAGTTGGTGACCTCTGCCCTCAGCAGTAGGGACAGTGCATTGTGCCAGAAGGCAGCACCTTGGTGAGCCAGTTCCACCCTCCCTGGTGATCTCCCACCTCTGCCCTAGCAAGGGGGGCTATGTGACAGAGCTCCGCCCCAGCACACAGCAGCAAGGACGGTTCAGGAGAGTCAGGGAACTAGTTAACGTCTCCAGTTTCTTTTACTAAACCTCTTGAAAGCAGCAGCAGGGAATGGCCCCGGGGCTAGTGAGAATCTTGGCCTGGAGCGTGGCGCAGACAGGCTGGGCACTTACTGGCTGGAATGATTCCACTGGACACAGAGGGGCTTGCTTCGGTTGGCCGTCTCCAGCAGGCGGAACTCCAGCACCAGGGGCGTGTCCAGAGTGCCCTGGACGAAGGTGTGGTTGCTGAACACGGACACGCTCACTATGGGGGAGTTCATGACGGGGTTCTTGGGCAGTCTGCAAGAGTTGACAAGGGTCTCGTCACTGAGCCCATCAGCTGCCCAACCGGTCAGACCCTTGTCAGAGAATGCCAGGGGGCTGACAAGGGCTGGACTGACAGCCTGAAACACATCCGCCTCCACAAGACAGGCTGCACGCTGCCCACCCAGCCTCAGCCCTGCCTTAGGCCGTGGGGAGAGAGCAGTTCATCCTCTGTGGTCCATCTAGGCCTTGGCCTCTTAGAAGGCTGCCAACACAGGGGCCAAGCAGGACCAGTTGTGAGAGTGGTTTCAGTGTTGCAGATACCAGCTTTGGACAGAGCCCCCAGCCTCCACACAGGCCACTAGGCAGCAGTCAGATGAGCCAGGCTGGAATGCTGAAAAGCCCCGCACCCCAGACCCCGCATGGCTGGCAGTACCCAGTTGCTTGCCGCCTTCTCTGTAGAGAGCGCATGTCCCAGCAGGGTGACAAACATGCAGCGGCCAGTACCTGAGACTGCGGCGATCCACCTGGTAGCGAGCTGGCAGCAGCCCCCCCAAGGTGCGGTAGATGATGAGGATGATGATGGTGACGGCAGGCTCGGGCTCCGGGAGGGTCAGCTTTGGGGAGGAGCTCTTCACTGTGTCGTTCACTTCCCTGCTCATGAGCGTGGGGGCTGCTGTGGGCAGAGCTTGGGTCAGAAAAGGGGCCTGTAACAATGGTGTCTTGTCTTGTTCTGAGGCAGAACATAGAGCCAGGGGGAAGGAAATGCCTGGTGCCACTGACCATCTCCGTGGCCATGGCTCATGAGCCACGTACCAGCGCTGGGCACTAAGTAAGGGACACAGCGGTGTCTCTTGGGAAGGAAGTTGTACAAAGTCCCATTCATCTTTGCTGGGGCTGCAGTGAGGAGCCCAGAGAGGTCCATGGCCATTATGGGAGGCATCTAAGACATGGATACCGCCTGCAGGGTCCCTGCATCATGGCAGCCTCCCCACCAAGGCCAGAGAGGGCCTCCCGAGGCCAGCACTCAGTGCTATTCCCAGAGATCGCCAGGAAGCAATTCCAGACACTCCCTGCAAGGGCACAGCAGGCTCCCAGCTCCTGCGGGCCTGGAGGTCACAGCGCCAATGGGATGCTCCCTCCCAGCCCAGGAAGTGAGGGGCTCTCTCCTCTCGGCCCGAAAAAGGTGCCAGGAGCCTTTGGGGTAAGACACACAGTTGGTCTCTGAGGTCCTGGGGCAGAGGAATCTCTGACTGACCCAGGAGACAGCCCAGGCTGGGGTTCTGGCAGTTGCATATCCCCTCACCAGCTACCCTGCATGCAGTGCTTGTCCCTTGGGCAGATGGTACTGAATACAGTGCAGGGCATGAAGAGTGGCCCAACAGAGCCTGCTGGGGAGGCAGCCAGTACACCATGGTCATTCCCTTGAGCTCAGGGCAGCCATTCACTTACCTTCCACTTTGGGGGGTGTAAGCACCGAGAGCGGGAGCACCACGTGGGTGTGTGGGTCCCACATGGCCTGCCCCTGGAAAAGGCTGCTGTGGTAGCGGGGGTAGCGCCGCCGGACGTGGGTGTTGTTCTCCATGCGGTCAATGCTGAGCACTGTGTGGGGAGGAGACAGAGGAATCAGGGGCCTGGGACAGCTCAGGGCACAGGGTCGTTACTCTGGTTGGACAGCGTTGCAATGGGATGGGCTCAGCGTGCCAGGGTTAACACGTTTGCGTCTATCTTTGGAGTAACCAATTCAAATGTGTCTGAGGTCAGGAGTGCAGTGTGATGGGCTCAGCCCAGTCACTTGTGAATCCCCGGTCACATCTGTACTTGCAAAGCGGAGGGAGGGAGCAGTGCTGTGGGGAGTGAGAAGGATGTCCAGCTCCCGTCTGTACTCGCTAGCTCTATCTGTGCCCACTTTCAGGAGCAATGCACTCACTGAGTTTGCTGGGCCTTGATGTGGGGACTATAAAAGGCACATGTGCCCTCCTGTACATATGCTCCCTAATGGGACCACGTGAGAGACCCGGCTCCATGTGAGAGAACCACCTATGGATGCACATCCCAAATCCACATGTGAGTTTGGGGAGAGTGGAACCAGTCAGCCTTCTAGTCATCAGAACCCCATGGCAAACCCTCAGCGAGTTAACAGCAGGTAGCCGAGGGTATGCTGGCCCCTTCTGCAGGGTTAGCACTTAGGAGGAGTTGTAGAAGGCTGTGGTCAGTGGATCCTTTCCTAAAGGATTTATGGAAGACTGGGAATAACAGAGAGGCAGCAGATTTACCGTGGTAGAATCACCATCCCAAAGCCACCTACTGGCTTGCGGCTCCCTTGGGGGAGTGTTCAGGGCAGCGAGGAATAACTTCTTTAGCTGACACTGCTGGGGGAATAAACTGGAATGGAATTGCTACCACTGCGATTTGGCCAGGACAGAGCGGGTAACACCGTGACTCTCACAAAGAGCAATGGGAGCTTTCATGACCCGAAGGGATGGGGGCTGGGAGTTTAGCTTTAGATCCCCTCCAGCAGCACAGCACCCCAAGTCTCAGCTGACTCAGAGGAAAGACCATCACTTTCTGTAGCACTCCAGGCTTTTCTGGGGGCCTCCCATCCAACAGCTGACCAGCTGCACCCTCCTCAGCTGACAATCACAGCTGGAGCATGGCCTCAGATTAGCATTTGTGCCCGTTGTAACTCTCTGAGGTGTGGTGTCAGAGCTGCATGCCTTGCGCCACGGCCCTCCTGGCAATGCTTCCAGCTTGCTGCCTACTCACTGATGTTGGGGGTTACCACGCCAACGGGGTTCAGGTAGGTGAGTTTCATGTTGCTGGCGAGTGTGCCCGTGTACTCTCTCAGCTGCTCCATCAGCCCCATGCTGCCGTGTTCGCTCTGCAGCAGCATGTCCCAGTGCTCCTGGTTCTCTAGGGCCAGCACCGAGCTGCCTGCCCTCAGCAGGTTCTGCAGACAGAGGGAGAGTCTTCAGCGGGCTTGAAGGTAAAAGCCTTTCTTTGAAATCTTCTAAGCCTCCTCTCTCCGTGACCTTCCCTGCCTGCTGCAGGTGAGTCAGGAAAGGAGGGGGAAGGGGTGTTCTCGGAGCTGAGCGTGGCACCACTGGGAGACGATCCCACGCTCTCACCCTTCGCTGTAGTGGAAAGGGTTCCCTCACTCAATCCACACTGGCCCTTGCTCGGTCGCACCCCCTTGGCTCTCCCCTGCCTGCCGTGGGCTTCACAACCTTTAGCTACTCACAGTAGCAATGAGATGGGGCAGGCACCACCCCTGATGGCTCACAAGCCATGACAAAGGTTGCAACCATCATACCTGGAGGTAAGGACCTCTGCTCCACGGGGCTCAGAGCTACAGTCCCAGGCTGGTGGGGCTGGTGAGGCTGAGAAGGCAGCATCCTTCGTCCCAGAGAAGCTGTGCTGTGGCTGACCAAGGGGCCGCGCTGATGAGCTCTGCCTTGCTCAGCAGGGAATTGTAAGGAGGAGGGCTCCTCCCAACAGGAACTGCGCTCACCTCGTTGAAGTGGGCGTCCTGGGTGGCGGTCAGGCCAAAGCCGTGCTGCTTGCTCTCAAACTCCATCAGGTGGGACAGCAGGCGGTAGGTGATGTGAACGTCGTTGCCGAAGTAGCGCTCCATCTGGTCCGTCACCACGCGCAGCCGGTGCGCCAGCTTCTTTGCCTCAATGGTGTTCAGCTCCGTCTCGTTCCTCTCCAGGCCCTCCAGCTGCCAACAGAGAGAATGGAGACGGGATGAAGCAGTGCGATGTGGAGCTAAAATCTGGTCCCTCCCTCCCCAGCTTTAAACCAGGAGTAACAGGGAGAAATGCCAATGCGCTATAGACCCAGCTGCTGGGTTGGGGGATCAGATTGCCCTTGGACTGTGCTGGCCATCTCTGCAAGCCTGTCAATGGAAGGATTATCTCTAGGGACAGTCACAAGGCCAACGGCAGGCGCTGGGACCAAACAGTCGCTTGAGTGAGCAGCAAACTGTACCTCAGGAATCTGCTCCCCTGGGAGAGAAGAAACCCCTGATGACAGGTGTGTGTCATTTAACTCCATGCAAGTGGGTCTGATGGTTATAGAGACACCCCTTCAGCCTGAAATCTAGTCAACTTCCAAAAGAAGTTTCAAAGTGGTTTCAGGTGTCACGGCTGCCCAGGGGCCCAGACAGCATTTGCTGTGGTGTTACCATCACATTTTCCTGTTTTAAAACAGACACTCTTTTCTTCTCTGCTGTTGTGTGACAATCCACACAAACAACCAGGTGAAACTGACTATACTAGGGAAAGGGCTATGCACAAAGTAAACAAACTGGGGGGAAAGAGCAGCTAATACAATGTTTTCTCTCCCATCTCATTTAATTACAAGAATCTGCAGTGTTAGTCATAACTGAGGTGGACTAAACAATATTCAGAGAGAATTTTGATTTTGACAGTTGAGAGCATCCCTTTAACTCTCCCTTGCTACACCTACAGGCTGCTTAGCTCTGCAGCAGTGGAGCTCGGTACTGCTGAACCCCAGGCAAACAGCAGCTGTTGATTTGTTGTTGTTAACCATTTGTGTGACAAAACAGTGAACAAAAAAGTAACTTCAGCGGAAGCTCCCCAGCAGGGCAAAGGAATTTCAAAGGCAGGCTAAGCGTTGAAATTAACAGTCCAGCAGTAATGACTTGTCCCAATGCCTGGAAACTAAATTGTTAGAGGAACCTAAAGATTCATCATTTAATCTTACTGATCAGCCAATAACTAAGGCTATGTCTACGCTAGACAGCTTACAGCGGCGCAGCGGTATTGCTGCAGCTTTGCTGCTGGAAGCTCTCCGGATGGGAGAGCACTCCCGTTGACATAATTAATTCACCTCCAACGAGCGAGGGTAGCTCTGCTGTCAGGGGAAGCTCTCCCACCGACATAGTGCTGTCCACATTGGCACTTCTGTCAGTGTAATTTATGTCACTCGAGGGTGGTTTTTTCACACCCTGAGGGACATACGTGGTCATGTAGACATGGCCTAAAAATGAACACACTGGGGATGGTGAGAGAGCGGCTGCACGAACATTTATTGCTGTTGAAATGGAGGATGCTGAATCATCTGATCCTGTGGCCCTCTTGGGATTATTGATGCTTTCTCTTTGAATACTGGGTAGGATAAATGCACTTATCCATCCGGGGCAGTTTGTGCTTGTGATAGTCTGACAAATTAATCCCTATTTCAAGGAAGGGCAGGTCTGGAGGATCCACGTATTGAGAGGGGCTCCTGATGGAAGCAGGGTCATGTTCTGGTCCCCTCTAGGGCCGGATTTTCGAGAGCTCAGCCCCCATAATTGGGACCGGATTTTCGAAAGAGCTCCGATGTTGGGTGCACAGTGGGTGCTGAGCATTGTGGAAAGCCCAGCCACGAGTCTCACAAGGGTAGCTGCTGAGCACTGTGGAAAGTCCAGCCCTTATTTAGGGGCCTAAATGGGAACCGATCTCTTTTGAAAATGTAGCTTCCAAGGGCTACCCCCTCGCAGTGAGCTGCAGCCTGGCGGAGGAGTAAAGGGGACAGTTACCAGTGTTGAGAGCTCCTTGAAGGCAGGTGATGTGCAGTTGAAGAGATCGGGCTCCAGCCAACCTTTCTCTTCATCACAGTGGCGAATTGCTGCACCTGAAAGAAGGGGGCGTTGCAGATTAAAAACTCAGAGATGCGGGACACAGTTTCCCAGCTGGTTAGGACAGTGCCGTTCCCAAAGCTAACCCACCATGCTGTCAGTATCACTCAGAACAGCACCGGGAAGTAACACCAAAGCCCTGGATTGCTGAGGGGGGCCAGCTGAACTACCCAACTCGCATTCATCCGTGAGTTGTCACTAGCAAGTCCATCAGTGAACAGTTCCAGTTTCCGTAACAATTCACCCAATAACTGGGAAAAATCATGATCAGACTGTGGGTTGTTTTTCCTATTTGTGGCATGTGATTGGTAACATGGTGTAGCTGACTGGATGAGACTTTTAGAGAGGGGAATAATGAATAGCAAATAACAAGCAGTGTAATTCATGGGGTTATTGGGGCTCAGTTCTATGCACCTTTGCATATTGACAGACAAGTATGTACCTCCCCCAGTGCTCACCTGACCCCCACAGCTGACTAAAGACATGACTGACAAATCACAGTCCACCTGGCCTGGTGCTTGCTTTCACTGAAATACCTGCTGGGACACTGCATCTCTCTCTCACAGCCTTTGTTTACTTAGAACTTTTTGACACGAGGAAGTCAGTATGGTATAACTACACTGGTGTAATTATACAGTTTTAGTTAGACCCGTATATCTCCCCGGGTGGTCACATACATTCTGGAATGAGTGTCCACACAGGGAGTTACACCTGTATAGCTACAGCAGTACAGTTATGCCAGTGTAGTTATCCTGGTAGCTTTCTCTGTGTAGACAAGTCCTTAAATGATAAGCTCTTTGGGCAGCAACCATTTCTCACTCTGTATGTACAGAGCCTAGCACAGTAGGGCCCTGATCCTGGCTGAAGCCTCGGAGCTCCTGGAATATAAATAATAATATATGTACTATCAACCAATTCTGTTTAAAAACCATCCACACAACCAATATCCTCATTAACAGTCCCCCAGCAGGGTCCACGTTATCCATCCCAAAAGCAGCACAATGATCAGCAGCAGCAGCAAGTGCATCATTAATGCCAGTCAGTATCACACCCCATAGACTTAGCTGTCATATGAAGCACACAATGCACTATTGCCATGAGTGGCACCAGCACTGCCCATGTCAATGTCCGGAACGGAAGCAGCGCCAGCAGAATAACAACTCAGCACTTAGGGGGCTACACACTCTGACTAATGCACCTCCCACCCTCAGCTGGGTCAATGGCATTATCTCAGTTTTACTGATGGGGAAACTGAGGCTCAGAGCAAGGAAGCAACTTGCCCAAGGTCAGACGGGTTGGTGGGGAAGCCAGGATGAGAGGTCAGGAGTTCCTGGCCCAAAGGAGCTCCCACGTTCAGCCTTCCAGCCCCTTCATCATCATCATCTCTATCTTTCCCTACAGGCTTCTCCTCCTCCATATTGCCAACAGCAGCATCAACCCAGCTACCCAGGCCAGAGACAGAAGGGGCTCAGTGGTGGAAGCAACCAGCAAAGGGGGACCCACTCTCCCTATTCTCTGCTTCTTGCCCTTCCTTCAGCAGAAGAATGAGCCTCAATCCCTGTAACAATCCCTGTGGCCTCACAGAGTTGCCATATTTTGGATAGGATCCTGCAGAACATTCTTAGTCATTGGGCTCCTTTATCAAGGCTCCCTTCATGATGTGCTAACTAGAGAATGGCCCTTCCCACCCAGAAGAGTTAATGGATAATATGGCATGTGAGATAGGTAGGGTTGCCAACTTTCTAATGGCACAAAACTGAACACTTGGCAACCCTAAAGGTAGGGTTGGGGCCACTCTACTTCTAGAACATGGGACATGATGAAGGTAGGTCATGGGTTGCAATGATTCCCCGTTGCTCTGGCCCAAGGGCCATAAGCTGGCCTGCCAGGCACAGAGAGCTCCTCCCAAAAGATCCTCTGCTTGGCCACACATGGCCCCCACCTTGATCAGTCCAAACGGGGTCCTCCTACTGTCACTTCTTTCCATGGACTCTCTAAAGGCCCTTCATCTGCTTTCCCCAATAGATGGCAGCTCCTGTCCTCTGGTCTGAAGGGAAGTGCCCACTAGCCTTTGACGCCCATAGCACCCTGCGAACCAACCAGCAGCAGGTGCTAGCAGAGCAGACAGCACTTACTCTCCTCTTCCTCTAGTTACTAGCCCTTCCCCCTCAAAGCCTAAACAAGTGAGCTCCTCAGTAGCCCATGGCCAAGGCTGACTGGAAACTGGCACACATCTCACAGGGACAGGAGCACTGAGAGATCCCAGCACCGCAGCCTATTGGGCCACCCAGAGCAAACGATACAGTGTAAAGGCGGCAAGACATAAAAGGGTGGGAGGGAGTCCGGCTGCAGTTGAATCTCTGCAGGTTAGTTTGCTCGGGGATAGGAAAGGCAATCGAGGGCAGACATGGATATAAGGAAGCCAATGCGCGGTGCAGCGTTAGTAACACAGTCAGCAGCCCTGGAAGCATGGGGTCTGCGGGTGTCTCAGGCAGGGAGAGGGGAATGGAAAGCCACGCAGCGCAGACCTTGCAACACACAGTGAGGGAAACAGGACAACACCGGGTCCTTACCTGCACCCCGCAAACCTGATCAGGAGGGAGCGAAAACGGGGAAGAGAAGCGACATGGTTAGGAGCTGAAACCCGGAGTGGGAGAAGAACGCACGTCCCTGGGGAAATGTCTGGAGGAGGGAAGGGGCTGGGACTGTCCCTTTTTGGCTCAGTGGCTCCCAGGCTCAGAACCGCTCTGGATTCCCAGAAGCCAGTGATTCCCATCTCCCACTGGCCTGGAGGTTGCTCTCCTTCCTTTCTGATGTGGCACTCTCCAAAGTCAGCCACGGCTGGATCGCTACAACGCACTCTAGCTGGGGCTACCTTTGAAGCCCGCTCGGGAGCTGGGGCAGAGTGTGGCTGACAGGGCCACATCAGATCCCCACTCTGCACTGAGTCATCTTTCCTTCAAGGTGCTGAATGTCATCTCCATGGCCTGGGCTGCTGCTCTCTTCCTCTGCCCCACGGTGGCAGTTACAACTGACTGGGACTCTCTGGCTCTCTGCAGCTAGGGTTGAACTTGAGGAGGAGGAGGGAGCAGCAGTGCATTGTGGGTGCAGAACCTTCCTCTGTGTCTCAGGGTGCAGTGCCCACAGCATCTGCTCAGTCAGCAGTGGATGCACTGATAGGTGGGGCCAGAGGGAAGGGGTGTTCCCAGGACTTTTGGCCCCTCCTGTTTTTTGTATGAATGATGTTCCTGGGCCTACGTCTAGGCTGCTTACAGAAGTGCTCTGCACTCCTGGCTGTGTTGAGAAGACCCCCAGAAAAGCTCCAGTCAGGTAGCTTGAATCTCATTGTGAGGTTGCAGCCCCACCTCTCTGACTAGAACAGGGTCTGTGCAGATCTCTGCTCTCACAGCTCCTCCTGCTCTCTCTTTTCCAGTCCATTTCCCCTCAGACAACAATTCTCCGCACCTCAAAGCTCAGAGACACAGGCCTCCACAGCTCCAAACCTGACAATCACAGCAGCTCCTCCTAACTGCCCGGGGCAGTGCTAGCAGCAGAAGCTGGCCATCAGCGGGGTTAGAACCTTGTTGTGGGCTGGGGGGGGGGGGTTTCCATCTTTCAGAGGCTGAGGGACATGGCAGGATGTTCCCTCCAGGGCTCCAGCCACATGTCCCTTTCTGCAGCCTTCCCGTGAGGATCACTTACCCAAGGAGCCTTTGGGACAAGGCACGGCAGCTGGGAGGCCAAACTTGGTCTGAGGCCACCAGACGCCAGCTCTCAGGGTTTTAGGGCAGCCATCATAGAGCACTGCAAATGGAAATGAAGGAGCTGGAGTTAAGTGGGAGCAGGGGGAGGGGGGTTGTCCCAGGAGAGTGTCCCGCAGGAGGGGATCAAGGGCAGTGCCCCAGGAGAATGTCTGGGGAGTTTTGGCCGACACCGTCCCTAAGAGTCTAGTGCCTGAGCTCAGAGTCAGGCCATGCTGCTCTGGCTGCAGGTTGCTGTCCCATGCAGAACATACACGAGTCTCCAAACTCACCCTCACAGCCACTTGGCGTCACCTCTGCAAAAGGGCTGTCACAGCTGTTGCACTGTCGACCTATCACTCCCGGCCTGCAGTGGCACTGGCCCATTTCCTGGTCACATGAGCGTGAGGAGGAGCCAATGGGGTAGCAGTCACAGGGCAGACAGGTGTCACTCCCTTTGGGGCGGTAATGGAACTCCTGCCAGAGAGGGGCAGGGCAGGCAGTTAGACAGATGAATCATGAGAGGGGGAGCAGCAGGGTGGCCAAAGGAAGGGCCCCAGGGAAGAGTGAGGGGCCTGGTAAGACGGGGAAGGACACAGTGGGGAGGGGAGGGGGACCAGCCAGACAGCAAGAGCAGCTAGGAAGACAGGCACCTAAATTTCAGCTTCTTAACACTGCGTTGGCTGGGCATAGCCCCAGCTTGGGGATCAGGGCCAGCCCCAGGTCGGTGTGGCAGCATCCTATGCAAAGCAGCACATGCTGTCACTCTTCCAGCTTCCTCCCAACTTACAGACAGGTCTCCCCAGTTCTGTGCGCACGTACGCCCCACTTCCCACTGGCCTGCCGCTGCCCTCTCCCCTCTGCTCTCCGTGAGGCTCCCCAGCAGCGGGGGGGACTGAAGCGCAGCTTTCCACAGGAGAGCAAGGACGGCCCTCAGGGAGTTCACTCTCTGCCCCAGCTGGCCGGCAATGGAGTCCTGCAGGGACAGGGACACGGGACTACGAATGGTGCTGGCAGGTTGGGTGTGCGCGAGGGGTGCGGGCCATCGAAGAACAGGGTAGATAGTGGTTGCCTAGAGTACTACAGGCCGGAGGGGGCCACCGACAAAGGCAGATGGGATGAGGGCCATGGCTCGGGAGCCCGAGGGTGGGCGAGATGAGGGGTATGCATGCACAGCTGCCCCCTCACCTTACAGTGGCACTGCCCATTGGTTTTATTACAGTCTGGGTCGAAGCCCTTGTTCACGTCGCAGTTACAGGGCCCACAGGTCGGGTTCCCCCACCAGCCCTTCGGACATTGCTGATCCACCCTGAGGAAAGAAACCCACAGTCACCTGACAGCCTTCTCTCACCCACCGCGTCCTGACACCCCCCACAGGAGCACGGCCACCTTGTGAGTGCTCATGAGCTACTGGGAGCAGAATTTGGCTCCCAGGCTTGGCCCCCGCCCCTGGCAGTCAGCAGGCTTCCCCGCTGGGGTTGGAAGGAAGGACTTGCATTGGATTTGAACAGCCCCACTTGGACAATATTCAGAGCAGCACTGATGGGTGCCAACGAGAGATGGATTCAACTTTCCCTCAGCCACAAGGAGAGAAAAAGCAACATGGGGTCTCTGAAGAGGAGCAGAGTGGGGTACAGGAAGGGGAGATCCCAGAGGAGCCCCCATCCCTCCTTTGAAGCCAGCCCACCTGTCAGTGCACTTGCACCAACGAGTGCACTCTAGTGACCAGCCAGAGGGGGAGCGCTGCCTCCCAGGGGAGGGAACACACAGAACAGGACCAATCACCTAGTGCTAGAACACATCTGCTGCTGCAGCTTATTCTCCACCTGGTGTCACCACCCTCCTTCGCGGCTGCTTCCCCACTAGCCATCAGTAATGCTACAAAGGGAGGAGCCTGACCTCAGCGGGGCAGTAACAAGCAGTGGCCGATCCCAAACCCTGACTTAAACACCAACATCCTCTGCGCACCAGGATCCCTGCGAGGGGCCTGGAGACTGTTGCTGGGAAGAAAGCCAAGTGCCGCCGAGGCAGAGCTGCCCTTGGGCTCACCTGTGCTCGCAGTACTGCCCAAAGTGGTTTCCTCCGCACTCACACACGTAGCCAAGGGGAGAGCCTGGCTTCCGTCGACACATCGACTTATTCTTGCAGGGGTTCAGGTGGCACACGTCCATGCAGTCCCCACCGTAGTATCCTGAGGGGACAGACACAGACCTTCAAAACAGGGAGCGAACCTAAGGAAACACTGTGAAAGTCCAGCCGTGCTGGGGTAGAGGCACGAGAGGGATGGAGTTTATTCAGGTGGATCACAGGGCATTATGTTCTCTGAGCCAGACCAACCAAACTTCTGCCTGCCGCTTTCTAAAGGGATTTCCAGTCTCTGGCCGCGACTGGGTTTTAGCCTCCCAAAGGTGAGCAAGCTACCAAGTGACCCATAGTGCTATGGCTCAAGGGAGCATTGCTGTGTGTGGAAATAGCCCTGAGGAGTGGTGGCAGAAGGAGAGAGGAGAGACAAGCCAGGCAAAGGGGAGAAGTAACGAATGGAGAGAGAACAGAAAAGGGGAACAGGGAGTGAAAGGAAGCCAGAGCTGCCTGCCGCTCTGCTGGATGGGCCCTACCTGGCTGGCACACGCAGGAGTAGCTCTGCCACTCATCACTGCAGATACCGTTGGCAGGGCAAGGGCTGGAGTCGCAGGGGTTGGGCACGCTGCATCCTGCCTCCACGTTCAAAGCTCTGCTGGGCTTGGGCAATGCCATCCCAGAGGGCGTGTCACCTAGGCGCACCCCCTGAAAACCAAGTCAGAATTACATGGTAAAGCCAAGTACATTCAGGAATGGGGCTCAGGGCTTCCGTAACAGGAGCATGGCCAGGGTGACCCAGCTTGGCTCTAAGGCAGGGACCCTGGTTCCACCCTTATGGCTGCAGGAGGCTCTGGTCAGTAGAGCTGACTCCTGCAGATCTGAGAGGTGCTGCCCTAGAACCGAGCTTCCCAGACCTGCCAAGGGCTCTGGAGAGTCACCCAGCAAACATTGCCAGGCTGTTCCCATCAATTCCCTGCTGCTCACATCCTGCTGCTCCACCCAGTGGTCACCTTCCATTCTTCCAGGGCCCCCCATGCAGAGTGCTCAAGTCTGAAGCATATGTCCACAGGGGCTCTGGGTGCAGCCCCTGGGAGCGGAGGGCCCTGGACTGGATCCTGTGCGCATCTGGAACGGGCTCTGGGAGCAGCCTCTGCAGCTAGGTCTGGAGACTCTAATTTCCCACCTCTGAACACCGCCCAGTGTGGGAGGCTGCTGGAACTGAGCACTCACCTGTATGCAGCCCTTCAGACCACTCTGCACCTCGCCAGACCCTGGGATCCCCCCAATGTGAAGATGCTTCACCTTCAGCCCATGCAGCTCATTTCCAACAATCACTGTGTCCTGCAAAAAGAGGCCAATAAACAGGAGCTTCACACAGTCATCCCTAGACCCCAAACCTGGGTCTGCAGGTCACCGGACTCCCTTCCTGCTCCACACAACCCTACTGTGCAGAGATCTAGTCAGGTACATGGAGATGTACATGCCCAGCTACCCCCAAGGCCAGTGAGAGGCATATTAGCAATGCACAGACAGACAGAGGAGTCAGAGATTACAGATCTCACAGCCAGGACCCCAGCCCTCACACTCTGCTCCCCAGCCCCCCCCGAGTGATCCCAATGGCTGGGGATGTGAGGCTACAGACCTGGTAGAGCCCAAAGTCCAGGTTGACAGTGATGATATAGCGCACATCGCGCCCACTGCGAACATCTCGCAGCTCCAGCTGGAGGTCGTGCCACTTCCCGTCGCTCAGGTGCATCTGGTCCAGGAGGAGCTTGGTGGTGTGCCCAGAGCCTCTACTCACCGCGAAGGAGAGCATGCCGGAGTCCAGCTGAGGAGAAGGGGAGCCAGCGACAGAAGTGGTGAGCAAGGCCCAAGCCAGCTCAGGTTACTCCCCTTCCTCCCCACTACTCCTCACCTGTGCTTTGAACATGGGGATGGGTCCCCAGCTCAGCCAGGAGCCCGCCTGAGAGACTTCCCAGCTCTGCACCAGCCAGGAATCTGCTGTGGCACATAGCGTGTCAGCCCTGCTGCTGCATTAGACTGGAGGGTAAGTCACAGGGACCTGGCTCTGACAAACCCAAGCTGCAGTAGCTGCTCCTGGCCCCATGCATGGAGCTACCAAGTGGCAGGTTCCCTCTGTATTCAGTGAGCAGGCTTTCCTCTCAGAGCTGGGAGGAGAGCATGGAAGGCCCTGCTGCCCACGCTGCATTTGTGGCTGCAGTGGCAGTACCTGGCAGAGGATGGTGGTGTACTGGCCGGCATGAGCCTGAAGCAGCACCCCGTCCAGCTTGCGTGTCCGGAATGCCAGCCCCATGTACCAGGGCATGGAGATCTTCACCTCATTCTTGAAGTCCCAGGAAAGGATGCTGTTGCCATGGAAATAGTGAGCATGGTGCATGGCTGGAAGGGAAAGCAGGAGCATGAGGCCTGTGGAGGTTTGGAGCAACGTGGGGAGCATTGATTCCCACCCAGGGCCTTCACTCACACTTCATTTGGCAAGGGAGACTAGATGGCTCAGTGTTTGCAGGGTCTGAGCAGACCAGAGCCCAGCTGTGCCTCTTGCCAAAGAGGGGCAGGGAGCTCCATGTACTGCCATCCCCGGGAGGCGCCAGCCTCTCAGTGGAGTTATGTATTTATTTCTCCAATCTCTACTGCACCCGTTGCCAGGGCAACTGGCCACTTCCCTTCTGGGAAATAAAGCACGAATGCTGGTGACACCACACACCGCAGGGCCCCGGCGGGGAACCCCTGTGGGAGCGAATCCCACTGTCGCATGGATAAGACCATGCAGGGCCTTCAGCCCCACTGGCTCCTTCTCACCAGAATGTTCAGGGACAGTTTCAGAGCAACATGTCCCTGGTGCGCCCCCAGCCTGCCTCTCCACAGGGCTCACTCACCATGCCTGCAGTCCTTGCCCCCGAAGCCCACAAGGCACTCACAGGAGAAGGTTCCCCAGCCCACTGAGCAGGTGCCACCGTTCTTGCAGGGGTTGGAATCGCAGAAGGTGTGCTTGGCGTGGCATCCTGGGGATATTGCAGACACGTGGCCAAGGCAGAAACAGAGGAGGGGACTGTTACTTGCAATGGCTCAGCACTGACCTTCCCCTCCCAGCACCTTGAACATTGAGATGGGGGAGAAATCTCAGCAGCTCCTCAGAGCAACCAAAGGTGGAAGCCGCGGCTAAGATCTCTACGCCCCGGTCAGTACACAGCCACCGTGCTCTGCCCTCCTGCCCAGGAACAAGGGCCCCTTATTGTGTGAAAAGGCAGCATAGAGCTAGAGTGACTTTTGCCAGGGAATCACCCCCCGAGGGACAGGCTGGCTTTGCATTCCCCATATGTGCTACCAGATGTAAAGCTCCTGGATGGTGCAACATGGCGAAGCGCTATTTGGGGATGAGAACAGGGGCTATTCGTGGATAAGGAGTCTTTCACTGCTAGGATCCTGGCTGGAATCTGGCCCAGGTCTGGACTATCCAATGAGATGTGAAATAAGCTGCTGTCTGTCCAGGTCCTTGTGCAGAGCAGAGGCGTCTACTTCGCAAAGAACACCAGCACCACTGGCAGGCCCTGCGCTCCTAGACTGAATGGGCTCTGGAGACCGAGTTTCTCTCTTTTTCCTGGAAAGAGTCGGGGTCCTGTGAGGAAGCTGGTGCTAATTGCTACCTGTGCTGTTGTTATTAGAGCCTGGGCAGCCCTGTCTATGGACAGAGGATTCTGGGTCCTGGGCTGTCAGCCCAGCAACTTTTGGTAGCTCCGTTTTGGGGAGACAGTGGGGAGCAGGGAGGACATGCAGCCCCCGGGCCTTGGTACAGAGCAGAGGTGCCACACACTCCTGTTACCTGCAGAGGTCCCATTGTTTGCAATGTAGGTAGCCAGGTCGAGCCGTTTGCTGTCGATGTACAGGTCTCTCATGCACCCCACAAAGTCCCTGTGGGCCACTGGGAAGTTCTCAGGCAGATTGGGGACCCCTCCGAGGAGCAGGGGCCCTGTGAGGTCGAGGGACCTGTGAGAAGAGGCCTGTAAGAGGCATTTGTGCAGAGATCCAGGCCCCACAGAGCACTACACTGGTCCGTTCCCCTCAGTGCAGCAGCAGGCTGTTACAACCTGCTGGGGATGGGAACAATAACTGAGGCCCCATCCTGGGTCCCGTAGCCAGGGGAAAGAGGCGGAAGCTCCATGCTCAGGCTCTGTGGCAATATCATCATGCATTAATGCCAGGCCTTTGACACTGTCCTGCCAGCCAGGCATGCAGGATGTGGGACAGACCAGAGACAACCAGGACTTTGGGGGACTTCTGGCTCCATGGCACCCCAGCTTTCCCAGGTCAAGTGGAGTATACGCTGAGTGGGAGCAGTGTAGGCTCCTTCCTGCCAGGACTTGGAGAGCTCAGAGCTCCCTTTTAGTCTGGTTATCCCTGTTCCTAAATCCCTCACCCCCCTGCAGTGAGCAGCAGGCCCTCGGGACACTCACTTCTTGGAGCTGGACTGCGTGCCCTCTGCTGCGCAGGAGTAGTTGCCAATCTCACTGCCGAACTGCAGTGCCACCGATGCATCGCATTCGTCCACCATCAGGATGGCCACCTTGTCTTTGGAAGGCCCCTGCACCACCCCCAGGGAGCCAATCTTGGGCTGAAACCAAAAAAACAAGGAGTTAGTAGGGGGTTTCCCTCAGCGCCGGCTCCTTCAGCACAAGGAGACACACCATGTGCACGGCACAAATGTGCCTCAGATCTGCAGGTCTCTCTGGGTGGCCTCCTAGCCTTGCATCCCTTCTACTTTCACAACGATAGAAAAATGAGACCCAACTCCCATTGGCGACGAGGCCTATCGGTGGGACAAAGAAGGCGAGAAGACAGGTCTCCTGGCTAGGAGAATCAGAACTGGAAAGCTGAATCAGGGCTTGGAAGGCAGGACAGCAGGGACCTCCCTAACGAACTGAGGGTCTCCTGTCCCGGACATCCAGCCTGGACATCCCCAGACCCTCAGCACTGCTCAGCTCACCCAAAATGTGCCTGCAGGGGAAGCCCGCTCAGTGATTGCAGCTCACCAATTCCAGACTTGCAGCCAGTGGGACAAACAGGATAATCCCAGGGAGAGAAAACAAAAGGTGGCACGTACCTTGTTGTAGTAGCGGAGCTGCACTGTATGCCACTGCCCATCACTCACACCCCCCGGCAGGTATGGGGTCACCAGGGTGCTCGACTCACCTGCAAAGCACGACGCTGTTACACACGGTCAGACAGACAGACGTGGTCAGGCAGGAGGGAGCAGTGCAGCGACGAGGGTGTGAGTTATGCATCCACAGGGCCACACTCATTCCCTGCAAACAGTCCCCCATGCACCCAAACACCCTCCTTGCACACCATGTCATTGACACACACACACACACACACTGATGGAGACACACACTAACACACTAGTGTACACACCCACCCGCACCTGTAGGAACAACAGAGAGTCATAGATTTTAGGCCAGAAGGGATCCATCTAATCTGATCTCCTGCATACCATAGGTCACAGGACTTCCCTGAATTAATTCCTGCTTCATGTCCAATAGCTGTGCTTGAAGTAGAGAAGATCTTCCAGAAAAACATCCCATCTTGATTTAAACATTTCCAGTGATGGGGAATCCACCTCAACCTTTAGTAAGTTGTTCCAATGATTAATTCCCCTCACTGTTAAAAACTGTGCCTTGTTTCTAGTCTGAACTTGTCTAGCTTCAGCTTCCAGCCACTGGAGCTTGTTATACCTTGTCTGATAGATTGAAGAGCCCTCTGTTATCACATTTCTGTTCTCCACGTAGGTACTGCTAGACTGTGATCAAGTCACCCCTTAACCTTCTCTTTGTTTAGCGAAATAGACTCGAGGAGATTAATCTTTCCCTAGAATGCATGTTTTCAACCCTTTAATCATTCTCATGGCTCTTCTCTGAACCTTCGCCAACTGTTCATCAAAAGAGGTTACATTCACTAACCCCAAGTTGTTGGCTGAATGTTTTCAACATCCCCTCCTAGAAGATGGATCAGAGACACAAATGTCACCCTGCATGTATCAGTGCATAACAGGCTGGGCCACTGCCTCCCTGGTCACAGAGTTGAGTGTTGTTCTTTGATTCACATGAATGACAAATGTGTTCGCTTTGGTATTTCTCTGGCAGGACCCCAAGCAAAGAAACCAACCTTCACATTGATCTTCTTCCCAACGTTCTCACTGTTGGCCTTCTTCCCACTAAGCGGCCCTCATGAAAAGAGCTGACGCACAGACAGGTCACTTGGAGGCAGTGACGTTACTGATGAGCTCTCTGTTATTTTTAGGAGAGGAAGGAAGCCCCTGCTACCTAACGACGGGCACTACAGTGAGAGGCTGGCTGGATACCGAAATGAGGAAGGGATGAGCTTGCTCTGCACTCTCAGGCAGCTAAGCCAGAGAGCTAAGGACTAAGCCATTTAGTGAGCAGACGAACAGCATCGGGGAGCTGTGCCTGAGAGGATACATAATGACACCCCAGGAAGGGGCAGACAACATGCCTGCCCTGACCCCTGCAGGAAGTGAGCAGGTAGAAAAAATGTGCCTGAATAGACCTGAAGCACAGTCACCCAGAACAGAGGCAAAAGAGGAGTCTAGCAGCCCAGCTGATCTCCCATCCCCTGTTCGTACAGACCCCTGTCTGCTCACGACAGACACTCACAGCCCATCATACATCTAACCCCGACCCACAAGCCTGACCCTATCAAGCTTCCCTGGCATTTTTCTACCACTAAGACGTAAGCGGCACTAGAGCTGCTGCACTTGCATTACCACTGGGAGAGCGAGAGGCCTGCCAGCAGCTGAGGTCACCGTCCAGAGATTATTACAGCCACACAGGTGAGAGCCGTTTCCTTTGGTAATTGTGCATTAGCTGATTTGCAGCTGATTGGTTTTGCTGAGCTTGAATTGCTTGGGAAATGTTTTACTGCGCCTGCTGAAAGCCATGAAAGGGAACGGGGTTGGGTATCTTGGCATGCAGGGTGTTGAGCTGGCTTTAAACCACTGCTCAGAAATAAGGGCTTCTGGGCTGTATGTTATTTTGTCTATGTTAGGCATCAATTTTAAAGTAGAGCGCGGTTTCCTCCTCACGGAGCCGAGCCCTTTATCCAGAGAGCACAGCAGCAAAACTGGGCTTTCACGGGCCTTTCAGATTTCATCTGATTGGAATGTAAGTGACCTTTAGCCCCCTAAACACCTATGTGTGCACACACACATGCACACACACACACACAATGCCTTCAATGGCGATAATACACACACACACACACGCACACACTGCCTTCAATGGCGATAACACATGCACGTACACACACACACACACATTGCCTTCGATGGCAATAACACACGCACACACACACACGCACTCCTATGCATGCATACACACTCACATCCCCAACATACACTCCTACACACACACAATCCTATGCAAACACACACACCTCTGCGCTCACACCTCCTGCCACCTCAGATGGATGCCACACACACACACACATACACACACACACACACGGGTGTGCACTCCCTCTCTCATAGCCATACCCCTGTGCACACACACCCTCTCTTCCACCCTCACACACACACGCTGAGAAGCTCTCGTGCCCGTATGCAAGTTGCTGCTATAGCCACAGGATCCGGGCACACGCACCTGTGGAGTATTTCAGCTGGACCTGCCCATCAATGATTTCCACGGCCAGGAAGTCATGCTTCTCATTCAGGCGCCCATTGTAGAGCAAGAGGCCGCTGCGCTCCAGGGTAGCGAACCTGACACGGAGAGCAGAGCACAGATCCTGGGTGTGGCTCACGGGAGTGCAGAGGGAACAGTGCCCCTTAGAGAGTCATAAGGGAGTAACCGATCCAGCCGTTTCACCCCCTTTCAGCGGGAACCAGCTAGGAATCCCCAGGGACAATACTTTCCAGGGTGTATTTACCCCATGCAGCTCTACCAGCAGGGCTCCAAAGAGGAGCTGAGAGGCGGGGGGAAGGGGGGGGGACTGAATGCAATATCTGGAGAGAGCTTTTCCCTGCAAATCCCGGGAGTGAGGCTTTACAGAGTGCAATGGGAATGTTTCATAGGCCCCTGGGCTGGGCAGGACCAAGGCATTTCAGTGGGGAGGGCTCTGGGCACTTCAGCAATTCACTGGACAGGTGGGCCCAGGAGTGTGCCCATAGTTGGTGGGCCCTAGGCACTTCACAGGAGCCTCGGGATAAATTGACGAACTCCTCTTCCCCCCCCCCGGTGCTTCAGCAGGGCCCTGGGCTGGGAGAGTCCTGGGCTGGGTGGGTCCCAGATGCTTTGGCAGGGCCCTGGGCACCCACGCCACCCCCCTGGAGGGGAAGTACGCCCATGTAAAAGGAAGAGCAGGACTTACGAGAGGGAGAGGGTGAGGTGGAACCTCTGGCGCAGCCCCCGGAACATGACGAAGGACTTGGGGGGGAAGGAGCGTGTGGAGACTTCGCAGTAGGGCTTCTCAAAGCCCCCGGAGGGGCACTGACACTGGAAGCCGCCATCCGCAGAGTTGGTGCAGGTGCCGCCGTTCCGACACACGCCAGGGAGGCAGCGCCCCGAGCGGCTGTCCACCTCGCAGTTGTCACCTGTTGGGGACAAGAACGGAACAAGGGGCTCAGGACACAACCTGGAGCAGAACTGGGGGGCTCCCAGCAGTAAGGGACAGAGGTCACTGCCCCCAAGTTGCCTGGACAGGAACCAGCCAGGCTGGAGGCCAGCTGAACGGGTCTCCCTTCCCCATAGGTGCACGAGCATCTGACAGCAGCCCACGGCCACCCCAGTTCCATTCCCCAAGCACCAGGGTGGGCGTGGGCCGGGGCACCTTGCCCTTCCCAGGCCCTGTAAAGAGTCCCCCTAGCAAGAGGCTGAGAGCTGGCCAAATATCCTCCCTGACTGTGAGTCACTGAGCATCGGGCCCATCAGCCTCGGTGCCAGTTCCCTGCTCCCCAGAGTCCCTGGTGCTGGCCAGTCCTGCCCTGCCGCACTGAGAGACCGTGTGTGTGAGAGACGCTGCCTGTGGCTCCGGGACACACATGGCCCAAGGCCAGCCAGTGCACTCTGGGTGGCAGGATTTACCTGCCCCATAGGGCTATAACACTGCCCCCTGCAGGAGTATGACGGACCTGCAGCTCTGTCTGTTCTCACTCCTTAGTGGAGGGGCATAATTCACATACCAGGGCGAAACCTAAAGGTCCCCACGTGTCCCAGGAGGCACCATCTCAGTGGTGCCCAGCCCCATCACCCTGAGGCTAAGTGTCTCCCATTGCTAGGCCTGAGGCAGCTGGGCACAGCTGTGGGTGCAAGGTGCACAGACTGAGCTCTGCAGGAGGATTCCCGCCGAGCAAAGAGAGCTCCCTTCAGATCCCAGCATAGGCACAAGGCAGGTCTTTGCTCGTCACCCTGGCCGCAGAGCTCAGCTGTCAGCCGAAGCCTCATCCTTAAGGAAGAGATGTTTCCCAGCCTTGCCTGCTGCCTCCAGTCCCCGGAGGGGCTTTCCTGCCCCGGATCCAGCACAGTCCAGAGAACAGTGCCACAGCGAGGTCAGTACGGTGTGGGCAGCAGAGCCTGCAGGCAGCTGTTCCCCAGCTGCACAAGGCTGTCCCTCACCCTTCCTAATCGCCAAGGGATGAGCCTCTAACCTCCCCGAGCTCTGGATTTGGAGCACTGGCTCTCCAGCCCAATGGGATCACAGAGGTTGCGGGTGGGGAGGGGGTCGCTTTGGGGTTTCAGTCCTTCTGCCCCTGAGCTGAAATGCATCTGCCTTCTGGGCAGCTAATACTGCTGCCAGTGCCAGTTGTAACCCCATAGGCTGGGAGAGGGGAACAGCCTGGAGTGGGACGTGTACTGCTCACCAACGACCCACCTCCCAGTAGCTCTGAGAGATGACTCTCCAGACAGTGCCTCCCAGCGCCTGCTTGCATCTGGCCCCCTCATCCCCGACTGCAGAGGGCCTCTCATAAACCCTCCCATCTTCCTCTTATGGGACAGACTTGGTGCCTGGCTGAGACAGGTCAGAGGGTTCCTCCTATGACGAGCCCAGACCCAAGTCATCATGACGCAGCACAGCAGAGTGATCCAGTTGCAGGTGTGGGGAGGGCAGCCAGAGGCAACCCCCTAACGCAGAGAGTCTCAGGGATACATATGTGCCTCACTCCACAGAGTTCATTCAGTGCAAGCACTTCCCTTTGGAGCACGAGTGCAGGGATGTGACCTGATCCCTTCAGGCACCTGGCCAGGCTTCGCTGATGGTTGGACCCAGCAGCTCTGACCTTACCCCCAAGTTGGAAGCCACTAGAGATCCTCTCTGCTCCGGGTGAGATGGGCACTTACGGCATGGAGATTCCCAAAGCTATTCCCACATCAAAGCCCCTGCTGCCAACTAACAGGGTCCTACATCCTGGCACTAAGCACTAACAGGTTAGTATATTGCATAGCAAAGAGGTCCAAGCAGAAGGAAATGCTTTGTAAAGGCCAGTAAGACACTGCAATGGCCCTCTCTGGCTTTTCACTCTGTTGCAGCATTGATGGTGGCTGTCTCCTCCAGAGCTCACAGCTATAAGTGAAATGAGTTTGCTGTCCTCAGCCTAGTCCTTAAAGGAGGTTTGTCCACAACCCAGAAGCTACCAGGGGTCTCTGCTCGGAGGGGAGTGGGCCTGGATAAAAGGGAGGTTGCAGGTCAGAAGTGAGGGACATCGGCAGAGCTAGGTGGAGTCCCAAGAATGTAATGAGGGGGAGGTTGCAGGTCGGAGCTGCGGTACATGAGTAGAGCTTTGCTGGGACCAGAATTAGAGTATCAGGGATGCTGCAGGTGTGGACCGAGCTGCATTGGCTGCACAGCGTGTGGGTCCACAACTGGAGCAGAAGGGGGTAGCGCAGGCCAGGACTGAGGAGTTGCAAGGGAAGACAGGAATAGCAGGGGCGCAAGTCGACACAGTCAGATTTTGCTGGCACTGACTGAAGCCATCCCATTTCCTATTTTAAATCTGTTGCCTTGGCAGCGGTGTGAGGAGTAAAGGGCACACATTACTGCTCCCATGAAGGGACTAGCAAGGAGATGGAATGGGGTTAGTGCCCCAGAGTAACAGAACCTGGGTTATCCACAGGGAACCCAATCCACAGCCATGGAACCAGGTAACAGGACACAGGGCCTGGCTTTAGTCCAGTAGGCTAATGGACTGGGGTATTCATTATAAACCACCAGTGTAAGTGCCATCCGATGAACTTTTTGACAGCAGGCCCAGTAGAAAGGCCAGAGATTGCATAAACTCTGGAGAGTGAACTCCTCTCTGTCTTTAGAGGGAATCTCCTTTGGCTTGGACCACTGGCTTGGGGCAGCAATCCCGCGTTGGCCTTGGGGAGAAAGGCTGCAAGACCTAATGGGTCTTTTCCATCTCTGCTTCCTGTGCTGTTACGTAGAGGTCTGTTGTGCATACGCTGTTAGAAAAACAAGGTGGGTGTGGTAATATCTTTTATTGGACCAACTTCTGTTGCTGAAAGAGACAAGCTTTTGCACTTACACAAAGCTCAAACGCTTGTCTCTCTCACCAACCGAAGTCAATCCAATAAAAGACATTACCTCACCTACCTTATCTCTTAATATCCTGGGACGGACACAGCTACAACAGCGAACGCACTGTTGTCATTTGCCTGCATGGCCACTGGGTGCCGCTGCCTGCCAGTTAAGGCCATGGCTGGAACTTCAGCAGGGCCCTAAGTTCAAACTTGCGCCATCATTCAGACAAGCTGAACTCTTTGCCATGGTCACTGAGGCAGGAAATGTCAGTTCCACTGCGGTTTCTCTCTGCTGCCTGTGGCTCCGGAGAGGGAATGGAGAACCATAAAATTCCAGGGTTAGAAGGGACGAATCCCTCTCTATTTCCAGGGCTGCCCGAGGGGGGGGGGAGGGCAAGTGGGGCAATTTGCCCCAGGCCCCAGGCCCCACCGGGGCCCCCACGATAATATAGTATTCTATAGTATTGCAACTTTTTTTATGGAAGGGGCCCCCGAAATTGTTTTGCCCCAGGCCCCCTGAATCCTCTGGGCAGCCCTGTCTATTTCAATACTCTCTCACTAGCTACCAGCGCATACAGGGCTTTATGGCATGGCCGAGAACACTTTCAAACTCGTAATTATTGAGGCTCTTACTACACATGCAGCCCTGCAGACCGAAGTTCACAAGCTTGCTTAGGTCACCAATGCAACGACTCCCACTCTCTCAGCCTCGCTGCATACGAAAATCAGCTCACAAGTCCTGCGGAACTGGAAGTCTCTGCCCCAGGGAGGCTGGAAGGGGCCTGTTGCACGAGGGGGCAGGATCTGTGGTCAGTACTGTGGGGCATCAGCAGAGCTGTATGGGGAGAGCCGAGGGCTGGACTAGCAGGGGATGAAGTGTATCAGCCGAGCAGTACTGGGATGCTTCAGCCACTCCTGCCCACCCTTTCCTGAGTACTCAGCACTCCAGTCCCTCGGTTTCACATGCACTCATTTAATCAGTTCCACTAAGAAGAAACCCTCATGGCCGTGCCCTGCAGCATTGCTGGCGGAGCATCTCACCGGCACACTATACAATATAGCTAATGGAGGAAGCTGAGTCTCCTTTCTTCAACAGGAAACTTCTTTCTCAGTGACCCTGGGATGGCCAATGTTGACAGGCTCCCTTTCTCCATAGGGAAAACACCCTGTAATCCCCAGAGTGTTGCCCCAGGACAGCTCCAGGGAAGGTCTCTGAAGTCGTTGGCCCAGACCCCCAAAGATATTTAGGCTTCACTGACATCAGTGGGAGTTGGGACCCTAACCCCCTGGGAGGAGCTGGGCCTGTGACTCTACTGGTGCAGGGTGCCAAGTTGGAGAGCACCAGCTTTATCTACCCACTGAGTGGGCATAGGCCAGGAAGTGGTAGGGCAGGCTTCCCTCCCATGCTGCCCTGCCCGTGTGCCTCAGCCTTGCCCTGGAGGGACTCTGTCCCCAGGAGGTGAGGAGTTTACTCTCCAGGGCCTCTCTGGTCTGAGCTTTCCCACAGGGGGTGACTAGCACCAGCCCGTGTGATCCTGCAGGAACCAGACTTGCACCCCACACCCATTTCACATAGGCCATGGCCACAATTACAGCTACGGCTGGCCAGCCGGTGAAGGGCTCTGTCTCTCTTTCCTCCAGCCCCTGGAACAGCCAGGCCCAATGACCTGAGGCCCCCCCCCCCCCTTGGAAGGGGAGCACTGGAGGTGGAAAGCACTGTCTCTAGTTGCCCGCCCCCAAGCTAGCCACCACCCCTTTCAGCTGGGTTATGTTTGTAATGACCCCACACGATATCTGGAAACGTCTGTCCCTGCACTGTGCCTCAGCTCAGGACGAACCTCCCAGCCTTTCCAGAGGGGTGGAGCCGGACACCACATGACCCTTGGGAATTCCCACATCCTGGTCTCTGCAGTCTAAGCCCCCACAGTTGCCAACTGCAAACCGGAGCCCTTGTCGGTGGCTGCGAGGACGGGGGATTCCCACACACACCTGCCCTGCCTGCTGTAGGTTTGCAGCATCAGACTCCTGTTCTCTCTTTCTGTGTCTCCCTTCTACCACAGATCAAGGCTGATCCCTGCAGCTATCAAAGGGGGAGTTCCTGTCACTTTAAATCTGGGAACAGGCAGCCATGCACCCAAGGGAACCAGAGACATTTTTCATTGTCTCTGAAATGAAAGCACCCTCCCTCCCTTTGATGGGATCAGTAATGTATTCCTCTGAGCCGGCACTGTGGGGGGGATGGAGGGGGGCTGGAAGGAAGGAAGGAAGCAGCAGCCATGTTTTATTCATCCCAACTGGAGGGCTGGGAACTCCTCACCCTCCTCCCCTCTTCCTCAAGTGGTTGCAGGCTCCAGAGCTCCTCAGAGCCCAGGGCTTGCAGTCCTGGACTCTCTGCTCTCCCCTCTTGGTCTGTCTCTCCTGTGGTATCTACTACACTGGCCCTTCCCCCACCCAACAGCAAGTGTCCCCCACACCCACCCAGAACTGCCTTTGGAGTACCGCCCCATACCTGTCTCATCTCCAGGGAACTCAGGTGCAACAGCTATTCACTTCCCTCCCAACACCAGCCCACCCTCTTTGTGCTGAAGGAGCACAACCAGGGCCGTCCCCAGAATCTATTTCTGGGCGCTGACGTTCAGCCTAGAATTAGCCTGGGCCCATCGCACAGGCCTCCCCAGGTGACAGATATCGGCCAAATCAAACAGCCCTCGAATGGGATGGGGCTACATCACATTGGTGACATGCTGTGGGGTAAGCAGCCTGATTCTAGTGAGGCTGAAACCCAGGGCCACCTCAGCATCCCTCCCAGTGCACAGCGATCCAGGGCAGTCCCCAACTCATTACTCCAAGGGGATCAGCATGCTGGGAGCCCTCTGCCTGCCAGGCCCCAGTATCTCCACAGCCCAGCTCTAGGTAAGGCCTGGCCTCTGTGCTGTTACCCCACGACACGTTAGAGGCTGCTGTTGCTAGGTGATTGGGGCCATTAAAGTGTGTAACCAGGCTGGAGACACACTCCTGGCGAGGAAAGGGAGAGAGCAATGGGCCACGGACAGCCCATGAGAACTCTGTGCATGAGGGAGAAGGAACAGAGCTAGGAGTAGGAGGGTGAGAGTCCTGGGCACTGACAGGGCCCTGCTCACATCCAAAGGCCCAATCTGCAGCAGTTTCTGGCTGCTGCACACACCCTGGTAGGGCAATGCACCCTGTGTGCACACAGGTGCCGGCTGGCCCAGGCTACCTGCCAGGCCCTCCCAGCAGGCTGACACTCCCTCTCCCCACACACTGGCTGAGTTATGCTTGCCCATGTCGGTCAGCCCTGACAAGGCTTTGATCAGCCCAGGGGATGATGCTCAGAGCTGGGCTCAGGCGACAGAGCGGGAGATAGGGATTGGGAAACGAGGTGATGAGGGCTATGGAAGCACTTAGACAGACAGAGAGAACCTGGGGTGGGAAGTGGGGGGGGGGGGAAGCTGCCTCTTCCCATTTTGTCTCCTTGGGGCTTCCAGAGCCCAGCAGGGAACTACCCGGCACTAGGTCCTGTTACCTGCCCGGCTGCTTGTGGGGGATGGGGAGATGGTGGGAAGTGACAGGGAAATGAGCTCATTAACCTCTCTGCTAATGTCTGTTCACACTTTAAATGCTGGGGGTTAATTACTATTGACTTTGCTTATCTCACCAGTAACCACCAACACAGGAGCTGCTCACAACCCTGCCATCTGCTACCCCCCATCCCCCACAGCAATTCTTCCCAGCTGAGGGGAGCCACAGACCTGGGAGCCAGCAAATGAGATCCTCACTCCACCAGCAGCCACAGGCTCCCTTCCCACTTCTCCATGCAGCAAGCACAGGGCTAGTTTAGGAGGCCAACGCCTCTGCCAGTCCAGTCCTTGCATCTCTCCCCATGTCCCTCTGACCAAGAGCACCCCCATCTATTGCAGTCCTAGTATCCCCACGCAGATCTGCAATGCCCCTCACTCCTGACCTGCGGCACCTCGACTCTTCCAG